CCCCAAAACCCCAAAACCCCAAAACCCCGTGAAAGTAAAATATCAGAATTGATTGTGGTGAGATATTGAAGATATATTTAATCATTTCCAGACTATGACTAATAAATAAATATCTTTTTATTAAAATGAAGGCTTGTTAATGTATTACTAGTTTTATAGTCTTCCTTGCTGTAGCTAGTGTAATAGCTCTTATTACAATTGTGGTTATTACAAGCAAACTGGGATGGAAAATCATTTATGAGGGTAAGCAGGGGCTTTGGTCATACGAGTACGACTTTCAGAGATACCAGAATTATTTCTTTATGACTGGTCTCTCTTACTCAGAAAAAGTAGAAGCTGCTGGTTATTCAACTCTTGTTCCCTTTGGAGTTAGCGTTAGTCATTTCTAGTTACCCACGACTACCTATGGCTAAGTGCAGAAAGACCCAAAGTTGTCCAAAGCTAGGGGAAGTCATAAGATATATGATATATATCCTGATGATGAAAATAAAATCAGGCTTTGGGAAACCAAAGATTTGAAATTGACGACACCTGCCAAGGAAATTAAATGCCCTCCAGGACATTATATCCAAGATATCAGTGTTAGATGGAATTCTGACTCATCAATTTAAGGCCTCCAATTGACATGCCAGGACCCAGTGCATAGATAAATTGTATTATTGTCAACCAATAATGATTAAAATTACAAGAGCGGAAAAATGCTTCACAATGAAGATCCATATTACCTGTGTGGCATATAATTCAAGTTTAACTCATCAGATTTTGCTAATTATGGATTAAGAACCAGAGTCTGTTTACTTGAGGTAATTAGAACTATCAATGTAACATATGAATTGGAGGAAATTTCACTAAGAGACAACTTTAAAGACCCTTTCACCTCTGGGATCAGCAAATCTTCAAGAGCTAATGATGAATTTATCCTAAACAGAAAATTCCCTCTTGATGTTGGGTACTGGAAACTACTGAATGAAGATGAGCATATCAACCACACTGGTCCTCTTTATACTGGCCCAGTATTAACCCTTCAATATAACTATGATACTCACTAATTCGATTAGGTTATGAAAACTTTTCATTCGTGGGGAATTAATTTCCAAGATTTCAAAAATGTCGATAAATAAGATTAATAGCTTTTAATAAAAAACGATCTACTTGAAGGCTGTCCAAGGGAATCATTCAATTTCAATGTAACAAAGACTAGACTAAAGACGCCATATTCTGCCTAAGCTGAATTTTCAGATGCAACTGTAGACACAATATATGGATAGTACTACTTCAGCTACTACTCCAGTGTAGAACTAAGTCATGAAGATTCCGAGTTTTGTGCTAAAAACAGAGTTGGCCCTAAAAAATAGGATTAACCAGCAGTTTAATCTCTGGTGAACTTGTTAGATGAATCTGACAATGATGAAATTATCTAACAGTCAATAGAATTAAAGTATGAAAATGGTGTCCTCATTGAAAACTTATCATTATTGCTTCTAGCATTAATCATTGTAATAGGGACTTCGTTAATAGGATAATTCTAAACTACTCAAAAGAAATAGGAGCAAAAAGTAGAAGATTCTCAAGAATTTGAAGTCAATAAATTGAAGAAAGATCAAATGAACTCTCACTTGCTAGCTTGATGAAGAAAAGATATTATTAAACTTTTAATTCTTCAAAATATTTTAATCTAATTTTACTTGAATGCCTAAGTTAGGGGGTTTTGGGGTTTTGGGGTTTTGGGG